ATAAAAAATATTGTTTTGTATTTTGGATGTAACGATGTTAACAAATGTACATTAGATTGAGGGAGCGATGCTGAAAATACAGATGATAGAGTAAGATACAATTGGTTGAGTTCATCACGCAGCCGTTTGAGTCCGTACGGAACATATAAAAATTTTCAAACATATACAAAATCCTGGGTGAATGTCTAGAGACATTCACATAACAGATATTTATCTGATATGTGTTCAAAGAAGCGTTTTTGGTTTCGAAACAGCTTAAAAAGCGCTGTAGAAAATTATTAAGCCTCCCTTTAAAAAAGGGTTAAACTGATTGGAAGCACAATTTTTTCTTAAGTTAAAAATAAATGGAAAGAATTTTAATGCGTTTATAAATGATTTGCAATAAACAATTATGAAACTAAAGAACGTAAGTGTATTGGTTACGATACCATGATAATACAGAATAACTACGCACTCTTAAGGTTACATTAGTTGAACGTAACTTTTAATAAAAAGTTTCGAAGTTAAGAACATGTTTTATTCATAACCTGTCGTTGGCTTCAATACTTGCCCACAAATTTAGCTACTTGTAAAAAGCACTTGGCGAACTTCAAAGACTTTCCATTCGCTGAATTAAGTTAGCAAGTTAAAGTAACTTACACTAATTAGAATTAGTCCAGTGGCAAAATAATCAGATATAAATGTGTTTATTACTTTTCAACCATTTAAATATGTGTTTAGTCAAAAGATCAATTTTCTTGCGTGCGAGTATAGACTTGCTACTTGAAATTAGGAAGTGTGTGTTTATTAAATGTATTTATTACTTTGCAAACCATTTAATTATGTCTTAAGTCAAAAGTTCAATTTTCTTCCATCCGCGTATAGACCTGCTGCTTGAGATTAGAAGGCTCACGGGTAATCTAATGAAGCCATAATACGCCGCAAGACTACATCCTAAGTTGGCAAGCGTGCCGCCGCACCTCGATCAAGGATTTGAGGGCGCGCCCGTCCACGGGCAAGGCGAGCGCAAAGCCCTCAGTCTCTGCCTTGGGCATGGCCGCGCTGCTGCAGGAAGCGACGTCCAAATCGCTATCTCGGACGCTCTCGAACGCTCTCGATGGCTCTCGACCGCTCCCCACGCTCCAACCGCTTGCGACTGGCTCGCGAAGACTCCCTTGGCGCGATGTACGTCCACCACCGCCCACAACCGAGACCGTTGCTACCAACGGCCGCGCTTGCTAGCCGGCGTTTGTTTTCGGGAGACAATTGAAGCGCGCGCGGCCATTGTGGCGTTGTTGATGGTTTACTTTCGTGAATATTACGTACATAGCTAGTGGTTCACAATAGGATGCGATGTAATATAATGTGAGAATGGAAAAAAAGTTCATTGAACTTTCTACAAAATCATATCCAGACTAGACAGCCTGTTATAAAATAAATATGATACTGTATAAGTGCTAATTCAACAATTATTTTGACATTTAAAATTGTTTTTTCGTTTTTATGCTACAGTGGTATTTGCTAATTGAATGCTGATTTAGTAGATTCATGAGTTCTCTAAACTGTAGAACACTTCGAAATAAATGTTTACAAATGTCGAATTTATTGCTGTCGAACTTCTTGCTTAAAATGTCGGATTCATTGCTACTCTCGTTCGTGAGTGAAAATATTACAACTTCGGCCAGTATTCAGTTTATTTCATTCTTAGAATATCTAGATTAAATTAGCTCTTCCGTCAGTGGGATAGTTTGCAACAATTAGTTACAATGCATAAACCATTGAATTTATTAATAAAACTAATACGACCTTGATTTGAATAAATCAGCGTTGAGGCAATGTCCCTTAAATCTTCCACATCATCTTTGCTTATCTTTTTTGAATTGCTAACGTTTTGAGCATTTGTTTAGTCGATTGCTTTTCTCGTCCCGTTTTTTGTGCCACGTCGAGCAATGCTACCCTCTTACAACGTAAAACCCTAAGACATTAATGTTAGTGGCGTGATATACAACGAGGCTGTCTGCGTAGATGAGCTAACAGACAGTAAGTCGAATTTATTGCTGCTCTCGCTAAAAATGCGCATATTTCACTGCGCTTCATGTCGCACGCAAATAGAAAGGCTGCGAAAGATCGTTGCCCTATTCTCGTTTCCATTACGCAAGTGGTGTGATTCGCACTCGAGGCGGCTGCTGGGTGAAACGACTGGGCGACGGAAAAGCCCCGTCCTTCCCAGGAGTATTTTCTTCATGGGGGCATCGCGTGAGTTCAGCGTAACAGGTGTTTTCTCAAGCAGGTGTAACTTGAAACGCTGGTCGATGCCTGGAACCGGAACGCTGAAGGTATCAAGTTGAGTGATTGCTAGTCTGCGAAGTGTTTCGCGGAATCACGAACAGTGGAAAACATGGAGTCATCGCTTTTCTTTCAATTTATCGTGCTTGTTTACACATACATAGCTAAGAATAATTTATGGAGATCGAAATATATTCTGTTTAAGTAATTCCTTTATTATTAGACATGTAATAGATAGTATCTGAGCTATGAACATTTTAGTTCATGCGATATACAAAGAAACTGTCGTAATGGTTTGAAGTACGTAAGCTTCTTGCAATGCTATTTGATTTCAGTTACGGAGAAAGATTTGATACACCTTCACCCACTAACCGACACTACTTTCATCACTGGTACACGATTCTATCTCAAGCGTCGTCTACCGAGATGCAATGCCATTCACTTTAAGTCCTGGAATCAGCTGTACTCGAGTACCTGTGTCCGGGAAGGCGAGCGTTTTCTTCCTCTTCCGCGTACGTTAATGTCTTTCGCTGCACTTCGTCCTTAGCAACAGGGGGAGGGGATGTGAAGGGAGGGGAAAGCAAAAACGAAGCGAAGCGAGAGGGGGAGAGGCGCGTCCCTGACCCGCACCACGCCCCTCGCTCCATCTTGTGCTGTCGAACGAGGCGCACTGTTGACACCGCCCCCGCCACGCCACGCCACTCCTCTCGCCCCCTCTTCTACCGCCCCAGCACCGCATCAGCTCCCCCTCCCACATCGCCTGTCATCCCGCTGTCCTTTCCCCGGGGTCGACAGTCCCCTGTCCCCAAACTCCTCTCTCGACTGCCCGTCCTCGTGGGGCTAGTGCGTTGATTCTCTTCTCGTCCGCAAGCTTCCTACTCCCCATGCATATCAGTAATATTTCTTCCCACTTTCATCTTCCTCCCACTCTCTACAAAGCTTTAATTCTCAAGCGAAGTTGCCATGGGTTCCGTGCCTGCTGCTATCAATCTCTAATAGCCGTTGTTACAAAACGTACTCTCCTTTGCCATTTCTAAATATCTCTGCAGCCTTTTTATGTTCACCATCATCTTTCCTCAGGCCCCGCCCCTCTCCACGACTCCACGCCATTTCCCATTGCACTTCCCCTCTGTTCTTTCTTAGCCAGCTTAAGGTCACATTGAATTCCTTCCTCTTTCCCATACATTTACTAACCTTCCCCTCTCCCATAGATTACCTGTCCCTTCTGTTTCCCGAAAAGCACTTGGCTGGTCCTGGCAAAATTAAAACCTCTATCAGTTTAGCGCCAATCAGTATTTAGATTTGAATTTCTGGGTAATTGCGAATATTGTATCTAGGCGCTATGTGGTATTCAAATCGAACGTTAAAACATTAGAGCACTTGCGCCCCTAGGGAAAGCGATGACAAACTACCCTAGGTTTACTTGCCCAGGACAAATCTCACAAGCAGGCGCTAGGGGCTTCTGGAGACAAGCCTACGCACTATAAGTGTATGGAACATTTTAATATATAATTGTCACCATTCCGGTCACCTTGTAGAACGCAATTACGCTCGGAAGCATGATTACGCGTGTCGGGAATGGTGGCAATTATATATCCATACAAGGAGCGATAATCGCCCTCATGAAAACTGTTCAAAGGATTGTTTGTCTCGGTATCTAAGGGGTTATTGCAGCTGGGCGTAAATCAGAAATCTCGGCTTCGTATCCCGGTCGGGACAACCAATTCTTTGAACAAATTCAATTAGTCACATTGTAAAGTAGAAAGGTTCTGTTTTCCTGAGATTCCATTAGCCTTCCTCTCTCCGAACAGATTTCCTTCCCCTTTAACATGCACTCCCCACCGGCCGCTTCCCTCACCCACCCGAGTTGAATCAGTCTTTCCGCGCCCGCCTTGTGCTGTTGTTTTTTCGCCGCGTCGCGTAGCGTCCGCCTGCGCGTCATGGAAAGCCACCGGGCCCCCGCCGCCGCCCCCGCCGCCGCCCCTGGAGGAGCGAAAGACCGGGCTACTCGGCCGGCCGCAAGGGCGCCCCGAGGAGCGGACCCAACGCCGGCGGCCCAACAGTAAATGGGGTGGGACGGAGGAGGAGGAGGAGGCAGAATTGCTTTCGGAGTTCATGGGCGCTCAAGGTCACGGATCCGGCCTCCGCACGCTTTGGTGAAGAACACTGCGAAACCTCGAGGTCTCTCGGAGGGCCGATTGACTCGACGTTCGGCGAGATACGTTTTTACGCTCGGCGATATCTTGGAATTTAAAGGCGAAATGTTACATTAAAACGTAAACTACCATTTATAAACTCTTCCAAAAAAGTAACTGGCACTATCAAAAACCAAAATTTAATATTTGTTGGTAAAATTAGTACAAATGTAAAATTAAACAAAGATGTGTTGTTATTATTAAATGTAAGCGAATTGTTAATATTAATATTTAGGTGTATCGTTACAATATGTTATTGTTTTTAATATGAAATGTAAAGCTGCTCAATGCTACTACGCAATATTCTAATAGCTTTAGTGTGTTTGTGATATCGGAGTTCTTGGGTCTTTTGCATACATTTTGAAGTTAACTTTATTTTTAGAAAGGTGATTTGACGGCTTGCCATTGTTTCCTTTCATTTCCACGGAAGCATCCCCTTCTCGTCTGCCTTTTGTTCCCCGCCCCTCCGCCTACCTGCATTGTGCCTGCCGTCAAAGGAGCGCCAGCCCTAATGAATGTGTTCCCCTGTTGCGTGCGCAGTTCGTGTGCGGCTTCGTGCTCCTGTGGACGCTGACGCTCATCTCGATGGACCGACACCGCTGCATCGTGGTGCCGCCCTACCGCTCGCGGCTCACCCCCCGCCTGGCCACGGGCCTCACCGCGCTCACCTGGATCCTGGCCGCGGTGCTGTTCCTGCCGGTCTTCTTCTGGTTCCACGAGCAGCCCGTGGCGGACGGCAGCCTCACCGTGTGCACGCTCATCTTCCCCAAGTCGGACACGGTGAACCTGTCGCTGTGCTTCACCATCCCGGTGCTGCTGCTGGCGTGCCTGCTGCCCATGGGGCTGCTGGTGTACCACTACCAGCGCATCTTCCAGAAGCTGCTGACGACGCGCAGCCGCTGGGCGGTGCCGTGCGTGGTGGTGCACCCCGAGTGCTCGGACACGCCGTCCACGCGCCGCGACAGCGACCTGAGCTTCGTGGGCAGCCTGGTGATGCCGTGGTCGCGCAAGATCTCCACGGCCAGCCAGGTGTCGTCGGCGCCTCCCAGCGGGCGCAGCGGCTCGCTGAGCGCGCACGAGGAGCTGCGTCTGAGCAAGCACCTGCGCGTGGTGCGCGTGCTGCTGCTGAACGTGGTGGTGGTGCTGATCATGTGGCTGCCCATCACCGTGGTGATGTTCCTCATCTACGTGGACGGCAGCCGCCCCAACGAAGACACCGGCTTCTTCCTGCGCTCGCACCACTTCGTGTGGGCGCTGGCGGTGGCGCTGCTCAACACCGTGGTGAACCCGCTGCTGTACGGCGTGCTGTCCGAGAACTTCCGCGCGTGCTTCGTCAAGCTGTGGTTCGGCACGCGCCGCAAGAAGCAGAGCCTGGCCGGGCTGAAGAACGGGGCGAGCAAGAGCAACGGGCTGGACGGCGCGGGCGACGGGGCCAAGGGCGGCGCGCGTACCCCCAGCAGCGGGCGCGCCAACGGGTACCCGGTGCCCGGCAAGGCGCACAAGAAGTTCAGCACGTGCAGCCAGGGCTCCGTGTTGGACGCCCCCAGCGGGAACCTGGTGTGAGTCGCGACGCCTCCTGCACATCTCAACCGAATCAGTATTCGTGCCGTGCGTCGCTCAAGGCGTGCTGCATATGCCTAAAAGAGAACCCTCTCTCCAGAACTGCCTGTGACTAAAGAGCCTCAACTCTGTGTGACGTTGTTTCAATTGGTTTTAATTCACCGATGACGTGCACTAATTTTCACGAATTGTTTATCTTCTGACAATTTTAATACAGTCTGGCACAGAGATGTTTTACTACACTTCTATTTTGACGTGTGCTTTAAAAGCTATCTATGAAGAGAGGGTTCTTATACTTGCCATGAAGAAATGTGTCCGTGTCATTGTAGAAAAAGACATCACTGACAACATTACACCCTCGATGTAAGTGCGATGGACGTCTTTTTTTAGAGAACGGTGTAATACGCACGAGATAGTATCTGTTAGAAGAATATTCGAAGAATGTATGTTAAATAAGTGGAAGGAATATGTTTGTGATCAATGTGTGATGTTAGGTGATGGTTACCGTATTGTTGTAAACAAATTAAGAAATCTTTACCAAAGCTACACCAGGGCGTAACTTCTCTCCAAAACATGTGATGTTAGTAGAGGCAAAATATTATAGATATACAATCTGATCAGGAACTGATAACCGAAGAATATGTTTCCATTTATAGAAAAAGAACTCAACAACTGTACTTTGCAATGTGGAAGAGTTACCAATTCTTCTCCTCATAGTAATGAAGGAGAATCTTTAAGAAATATGATTACCACTAAAACCAATGTTGCAAGAAATTTTCATCTTTTCTGAAATGTCGCCTTCCCTCTCCCCCCTTTTCTCTCTCCCGACGAAGTAATAACCCGTGAAGCTGTTTATTGTCAGACTACTTCTAGCTGCCTTCTCAAGTGTTCGTTGTAACCCTGCCAGCTCTCAGAGGCGTACTCTCCAGAGACATTCACATCTTTGTGTTAAATATTTTACAAAACACATTTTCTCTCCAGAGACAAAAGATCCCTTGTTACAGTGACATTGACAGTGGAGAGTACTGAGTGAACTCTATTATGAATCTCTCATTACAGTCGCCAAGTGCGAAAAATCGCTACGAAAAAAAAATTGATCGCCTGTTTCCCCAAATAATTTCCCGTAACAATTATACATGTTCTTCCTGGAGCAATTAGCGTAGTTGAAGTATTCACAAAAAAGAATCGCACCACCAAAAAACTCATTGTGTTTGTATGGCACCTTCGCCCAAAAAAATACTGTTAAATTTTGTATGGAGGTTCCCATCCCCTTCTGCTACATTTATTGCGGAAGCGCGCCACGTGCTGTAGCTTCAAAAGCGGGCGCGGCCGCCGCCCATTGTGATTCGGGATCCAATTATTCCCCAAATTCTAAATTTCTCGCTCGAATGCAACGCGTTCGTTTGTTAATCTCTCTGTGGTTCTGTAGCCGACGTTCATTTCGTGAGGAACAGGACATGGTAGACAAAGGTTTCGCAAAGTATGGATTTGCGCAGAGAAATGGCGAAGTTTGCATTTGGGTCATATTGAGTTCGACTATTTCAAATTTAATGACAAGTATGTGGAAAGTTCAATAAAATATTAAAATAACTACAATTTGTTTTGGAGTGGAGTTTAATTCAGAAGCTAATAATAAATTAGGAAAAATAAACCAATTTTATCTATTGCAGTTTTCGAGTGCGATTAATTTATGTTTATTAATTCAAGCCAATTCTCTTTGAACTAATGTTAACTGGATGCATAACGGCACCAATTACTATCGACTATTGCTTTGACATAACTATTACAAATCAATTAATTGACGCAAAATTCCAGCTCTAGTTGTTGCTATAGGTTACAACACGTTTCTAGAATGTCGACAAATAAGGGAACCATCATATTAAATGTAATCCAGTGGTAAAATTTTGCCATTTCAAACTCAATTCCATTTTTATTACTACTACTACTGTGTATGAAAATATTGTACTTCAGTTATTATTATTATTATTATTATTATTATTATTCATATTCATACATCATTACTTTATTTATTATTATCATTATTACTTCAACAAAGAAAACAAAATTAATCCAAAAATGCCCGTTTTGTACCTTCTGTGCGATTCGTATATTTTTCATACGCGCTTGCAGTAGGATTGCCGTCCTCAGAGAACCTCCGTGACGGCGCACTTCACGTTTCGTGGGGCCGCTTGCGAAATGGAGGCGTGGGTGGCGCGGCCGGCGCGGGGCCAATGCCGCGGCCAATGCGCGGGCGCGGTCCGCTTTCCCAGCGCTAAATCATTTCGCGCCGTCGCTCGCGTCAGTGCCCGCCTGCCCAGCCACGCCGCCTCCTGAGCGCTACGTGGCCAGGCACTGCAGGACTGCCGCGCCCACACGCCCACCGCCACCGGCCCACCGGCCGTACCCACCGGCCCACGCCCGACCTGGGCCCACCACTGCCCGCCGCCCGCCGCCCACGCCACGCGCCACCGGCCAACGCCCCACCGCGGCACCGCTCACCGCCACCGCCCCACGCCGCACCGCCAACCGCCCACTACCCACTGCCCCTACTTACCACCCGACCACCGCCCACTACCACCCGACCACCGTTGCTCCGCCACCACCCCACCACCACTGACCCACGCCACACCACCCCCCAGCACCACCGCAAAGCGCGCCCGACCCACCGCCAACCGCCAAACCGGACCCACGCGCCCACTACCCACTACCACTACCCACCGCCCACCGCCCACCACCCACTACCCCACCACCCGCCTACCGCACCTACCCCACCACCCGACTAACCCACCCACACCCGACTACCCACCCACCCCACCACCCAGCGCACCCACGACCCAAATGAACACGCCCACGTACCCACGACCCCACGTCCCCACCACCACTACCCGACCACCCACTGACCCACCACCCACACACCCACTAGCCCACCACCGCACTACCCAGCCGTCCTCGCGGAAGGGCTGGGCGTGCGCGCGTTTGGCAAGTTTCTCCAGAGGAGGGGGCGCGTGCAGAAATTGGATTCGAGGGGAATCGACTAAATGGGGAATAAACCAAGACAATATTCGCGTGCGCGGCCTGATTAAATCCTCCTAAATGCCCTTGGAATTGTTTGATTCTCTAATTTCATTGATTTCAATCTTCTTAACTGTGGAAATCGTAAATGTCGCACTTATCGCGGCTAAGGTTTTGAGAGTCCTAACTCACAATGTATTATTAATCATTGACTGAGTCTAGAAACTTTGAATATTATGTTGACTAATAGTAATGCGTACAAAGTAACATGTTGAAAGTTTAAAGATACAATATACAGCATTATATTAACGATTCTAGATGTCGAATTGGATATTGAGACGTTCTCTTGTACTCGCGCTTTAGTTTTCTTTTAATGTATTTCTTCCGTATGTGGAATTACTTCGGTGATACGATTACTAAATTATTGTTATTAGGCATTTCAACTTGCCAAATAGGCCTACATGTAGTACGAATATCTGAATCATTTTCTCAAAATTTAATTCTATGGGCAAGGTGTTCTACTTTCATTAACGTACGTTCATATTATAATGGTGCAATGTACGGTTGATAAAACAAGAAGATGAAAACAAATTTCACACAAATAAAACATGTTGAAATTGTTCCAAGGTTTTAAGTAATTGCGGCGTACAAATTACTAAGGAAAGCCAAATTACAACAGAAAGGATTACAAATTACTACGTAATACAGTGATGATATTACATTTTTCGTTACCATTACTTTACATAAAACTGCATAAAAAGTGTTTTGTTTGTTGAAAAGTGAATATTTTTGGTGGTGAGGTTCTTTTTAATCGTAGTTCTCCTTTTGTCCAATCTAAAATTTAATACTTAAATAATTACTTGGTGTTTCACTTTGCTAAAAGGAATTAATCATTTTTCATTGATATGCGTATCGTGTAAAATGTAAATTTGTCTTTAAGATACATACAATTATCAAAATTGTAAACCCTTCACATTCGGCACTTAATATTTTTAATGTACTACAATGCTGATTATCATAAAAAGGGACGTATCGGTGAATTTGGTGTGAAAAGTGCATCAATGAATGCCTCGCTACAAAGGAGACTGCAGACGGATATTTCATTAAGCATCATACTCACATTTATGCACATTCATATTGAATGTAGAAGGAAGTGTTTAAAAATTGTAAATTGAATAAAAGAATTGTAACACAATGGTGTGTGGTCTACCTCATACAGGATTACGAGCGATGGCGTGCAGAAATAAAACGACGAAAGCAAGCGAGGGCGTGCTGACTAAAATGCGGGGCACGTGGCCTTAACATACAAAAATGAATAATTTCTACGGCACGTTTTGAGGGTCCAGTGTGCAAATGTAGTAATTAGTATTAATTTTTACGTGCGTACTATTATACTCCATGTTGCTTCCTATACGACTTAAGACTGAAATTTTTCTTTCCGATTATGAGCTCATAAGGTGAGCATCCAGAGTATTTGTAAATAAAGCATTTTATCTTGTCGTATGTGATATGTGTATTGTTGTGAATGTGACAAATATTCTCTATACGTCCATATTGTAGATTTGTCTCGAGGTAATCACCAGTGCCATTGCCGTAGTTGTAAGGGCTATGTAATGAAAGATTGTATTTTGTATATAGTGAGCTCGGGAAGAGAAAACTTGCATGGCAAATGATGCGGATCATAAGAGTGGACCACTGTAAATATCATACACGATATCATACAAAATATCATATATTTAAATATAAATATATATGTTCTCATAAAACATTGTCCATAGTTTGTAGAACTCCTTCATGAATGCTGTCTGTTGTATTATACAAAATAATTTCCAATAAAATACTCCCGATAATTTTAACAAGTGTTTTTATTTACATCTTCGCCTTCCTTATCCTTCAGAGAACGTCATATTTTGTATCAGGGGGAAGTAAAGGGAAGTAAGAATAAAGATCAATAATACACAATTTATATTTTATGTAATTTATTTTGTGTTCCTCTTAGTACATTGGTGTTGAAATCACTTTGATGAGAAACTAAAAAAAAAAAAGACAAATACGGGGCACTATTACAACAGTAAAGGGCGTAATTATAATTCCTCTGTGTACTGGCCGAGCTAGTTATTCAACCCGTAACTGCTGGAGAAACAAGAGGTTTTTGAGTTATACGTACGTAAATGTACGGAAAAATTCTAAAATTGTAGACACATGAGATTCGGTAAAGCTTACGATAGTCCTTAACAATGTATTAATGAACAGATTGCCAAGAAAATAGCTGATCTATTTGTTACATCCGGAGCATTGTTCTTGGAAGTAAATATCAGGAATAGACTAACATCAGTTTTGTATTACTTTGCAATCCATTGTTTCAAAAACACAAAATACTGAAACCAAATATTACTTACTTTTATTCAAAGAAGTGACACATGTAGCTACTGAGAGAGAATATCACAATATCATATTACAGTCTTTCAAAATGGAAATGAACGCAGTCTATTAGGAAACTAACTCAACTAAAAATGAAACGACTCATTACAGCTCCGCAGAAAATACTAGCAAAGAAACACCGAAAGCAAAGGGCTCGCTCGATTCGTTTCTAGACGTGGAAACAATTATTTTTACTTGTTCATTGCATATTAGGTTTTAATTAAACGATTATTTCTACTCAATCGAAGTCTCATTGAAGTAGATATTCAAATTCAATTTATGGATGTATTAAAAGCTTTTATATACTTAAAATAACACATCAATGTTGACAGGTTCATCTCCAAACATTGACATACACGTCGATGTTGAGTAATTCGATAATCGTAGAGGCAAGTCGATATCTCGCGTCTCGAAACGGGAGCCCTCGGCTAAGTCAGTGAGGCTACAGCTGCGAGAGAGCGCGGGCGATGAGCGCGTCGGGTCAGGCAGCCACGGCGCCTAGTTGCAAGTGCGCAACTGCTCCAGCATCTCCTCGTACTGGCGCTGCACGGGCGAGGGCTCGTCGATGGCGCGGAAGCCCGTTGCTGAATCCTGCAAGCACAACACACACGCCAGGGTGAGTCACACTTCGACGCTGGAGTAGCGGTCAGGCGCTCACGAAACCAGTCCAACTGCCTTGGCTGTCGGCCTGGTCGAGCGAGTAACGATTATTCGTTTACATTTAAATCCTTTGACAATTGAAATCGAGGAACCCAGTACTGTCTTTTGTAATAAGAGTTTTTGTTCTTTGGAGAGGGTGTATCAATTTAAGCATTATTGGTTGGTACAAAGCGGTTTTTTCCTATGATTACAAAGAAAAGTGTCACAAGTGCGAAATCGAGCTAAAAGCTGATAAGAGGTTACCAAGAGGTCTGGTACTATTTTGAAGTTGATATTGAATTAGTTCAATTACTGTCCGCTAGAAGGTGAATATTTGGTTCGATCTATAACGAGTATTACAGAACTACGAAACTTAAAATTGAAATTTCTGAGAAATTAGAAATTTCCACTTGTGTCACTTTTCTATTGGAGGTGCGATATTTTATTTCTCGTAAACTATAAGATTTTTCTGTAAGAAAATACGTTTGAGACTTCATGAAGTTTTATAGTGCATAGTTTTGCATTAAGTGGCAATAGGATCATAATTAGTAATGGAGGATTTTGATAGAGATTGTTAGTAGTATTCGAAGGCTGTCACTTTATTGATTTTCTTGGTTGTTAATGTAGCAAAGGTAAGTTGATGTTTTAATAGCTTGTAAGATTATACAATGTAGAGCACTGAACAGAGGCATTAATTTGAATAAAATGTTGTTGATCGGCAGCAGATATTGACTTGACAGTATTATTTTACTGGCTCGTTTGCTCGTAATACAAAAGCCTGCATTGTAGCTGCTGAATCCGGTGAACAACAATGTGTTGCAATGCGTTCCGCTTACTGTGAGAATTGAGTACGTAGCAACGGGATTAATTAGGAGAAATAGCCTCGCTGAAGGCGACATAAAATTAATTGCCAATTCAGTTCTTCGTATTAAAAATATATTTACAGTGGTGACATTGGTGCAGTTAGGATTGTTATCATGTGGGCAAAGAATATATCTTTACAGAAGTGCTTTGTTACGAAAATGTATATCAAGAAACACCACTCACGTCAACTGACAGAAATATGTATATGTAAAAAGGATTTTGGATCCCTTTAAATGTACAAATACGAATAAGCGTAAGGTTTCTTTGCGAGAAGGCGCTTGCTTGCTCTGGCTACGTCACATCAGATAGGTGCTGCCAACTCTTAAACAGCTAATACATGACTATTCGTGTGCAATTGGCAACATAATAGATCAAAAGATCTGGTATAAAATATGTTTAATAATCGAATTATTATAAGTAATAATGAGTTAAAGTAATTCATGATGTCAGTTTTGCCAATGAATGACAAAACAGTTTTAAAAGTACATACTTCCTTAATAGTTACCAGCTTTGAAATACCTCTAATAAAATCAGAGTCCAAAATAAACAAATACCGAGCCTAAATGAGAAACAAAAATCATATAAATGAGCAAATGAAACCCACAACACAGTAAGGAATATTGACAGCGCTGACAGTCGAATTTATCAGGTTCGGTAGGTGGTTCCGACAATGTAGCCACGTCGTTTCGCGAGAGAATTTTTCGATCACTCCTTGCTGGTCGAATATTAGGGAGCTCTATGTCCAGCAAACTTACAAACATTATATGCATTTACATATATTACAATCATTCTAGGTTTCATGTGACAAATTTCAAATTGTGTAGGACAACAAAATGGCAGCACTTGTGAGAAATGTATCAAAAGAAATCTCAAAGAAGTAAGTTGCTCTAACAACAAATTTTCCGGCAAAAAATCGAACAGCAATTGTATTAAATCCCTTGCATATAATATTGTATGCAAGAAATTAGAGGACAAACATTATTTTAAAGGTATTTTATAGCACTCCTCCATTTTATGTGCATTTTTTGGAGATTTTTCGAGCAAATTTCACATATTTCACGTGCATAAATGCATGCAACTATTAATGATTTTAAGAGCATATCAATTCGCTCGCTAGTAATAAGATAGCTTCGTTCGTTATCGAATGGAATTTTGTTGAAGAATAGTTACAGTGGCCAGTTAAGGTCTTCCGTTTTGGAGTGAATCACTCCGAATACTGACCTTTCTTAGTCGACTCGTGAGAAAAGGATGACGAGGAATTAGATTGCACTCTATGATTCAGAACCTTCTGATACAGTAAGTAGAATACGTCTGTGCTTGCCAAATGATGAAATAGCACAGTATAGTTTTACAACCCAGTAACTTGTAAGTTGGTAGATCACAATATAAGGAATGTCAAACTTTCGAAAACGCTCTGTAATCGATGACTTCTATTTATGCTTGATGGAGCTTATTCAGAGGGTAGAAAAGACAAGTTTTTCGAACAATATTTTCGAAGATTTAAAAATGTAAATCGAAAGATTTCGTAGTAAAATCCATTAAACGTAATATTTGATAATTTTGAGAAGCACACAGTGGTTTTAAGAAAATCATGGGAATGTAAAATAACGTTAAAAATGATTTTATAAAACGCTAAATAATAGTTATTCATACATGGGATTTCAGTAAAGCTTTTTTTCACGAGTAATGTAGTTCTCCTAAGTGAATGACGCTGGGTTACATCCCATGTCGTGTATTTGTTACGGATCAAGGCCACAATGTGTCTAATTCTCGAATTAACCGATTCGTTCACAGAGTTAGTCAGTTATTAACCAAACGTTTTGAATAAAACTGTGTGAACGATGAACGAATAATTTCAGAATTTTTCATATAATTTGCGAATTAACCAAAATCTGCTTGCTAAAGTAAGATTACCCGACAGCGAAGTGCATGTATGTATCCGCGAGAAGCAGCAAATATGCTGTAAATTATGCGTTGCATTGATTCAAGGTTGTTTTATGCCAAACCTTAAAATTAGCGTCTTTGTCTCAACTGGAACATGGTTAGTGAAGCGTCAACTGTATATAGTGAGATTAGTTGGTATCGTGAACAAAAATTTTGACTAATACGATAAAACTTGAAACTGCGCTCCTTGACACAAACTAGCCTTAGAAACTTTCCACCAAAAGTGTGATTCACATAACTGCTATTCCTCGTCACCGAAAAGTACTTTACCAGCCCTAGCCAGATTGTTCATATGCTCACTGTCTTGTCTATTTTGAACTTTATTCATACATTTTGGATAATAACATTAATCAACTAATTTGCGAATTAGCCAGTTTCGGAAATTAACCGTAATATATGTAAGATTTTATTTTTAAATTACTGGTTACTAGTAAAATGCGATTCTGTAAAACTGTTTTAAAATAGTTACATATGTCGAAAACTTCTTTCATGCCCAGGTTTGTTCAAATATGTTCTTTCAGTATCTGGCACTGGACTTCACAATTTATCGCAGTAGCCGATACTGTTATACTCCCGTTCAAAAGTTCCCCATACGCAATGGCTTTATGAGTTACCTCCATAAGGGATATCAACTGGTCGCCGTGCAATTTCAAAATTACAATCGTCGTAACAAATACTTGCAGGTTTTGATGCTAATAGTTGAATTTTAGTACAGCTAAAATTCCGGACACAACGCGCTGCGAGACGTCAAGAAATGTCGCGCGGCCAGTAGTTTGTGACTCTGAGGATCTCTCCCTTTCCCCTGCCTCCCTTTTCACGTCATTACTACCGCTATTATCTGTTCGTTAGATTTTCACTCAATGACCTCAGCAGTTGAACGGCTCCCTAGACACACCAATAAAGCAAATAAATGCGCCAAACTCCGTGAACCACCCCACAACCTGAAGTCGTAAGCTTCCGCGGCCAGAGTCATGTGCGTGATCTGAGCTGTCTGGGTGACGCCGCGTCGAAGGCTATGTTGCAGACGTTTCGACCATCTTGTCGTGGTCTTCCTCAGCCATACCAGCCCTGAGGAAGACCCCGACAAGATGGTCGAAACGTCGCCAACACAGCCTTCGACGCGGCGTCACCCGGACAGCCAAGATCACGCACACCCCACAACCTCTGCTTGTCCGTGCGTATCACGGGAAGACCGGAAGCGGCGCATTGGCGGCCCGAAGGTCGTCGCCCGCCCGGCGCGGAAGCCCCGGTTCCGGGGAGTGTCGCGCGGATATCGCGGTCAGACGACGCTTCCCAGACCGCGTGGCGCGGCCTTCCACTGCGCACTTCCCCGTTTCGGAGGCCGACGCTCCACGACAGTCCGGCCATTTGTTCGAACGAGGGACATTTGAGCATGTACAGAGATGGCATGTTCAGTGGCAGCCAGCGGTGGAACCAGGAGAGAGCCATGCTCCCACCCCACCCCCTCAAAAAGCCAAGAATTTTCGGTGTTACCTTCCTTTATTTGGCAAAATTCATATTTATTTATGTTATAATTATATAATTATTAAAATACGATATTGTGTAGTATCGTGAATACACTACAAAAATAATATACAATATAATAACATATGTTTTATTATATTCTCCGTATCTCCATAACCGTGCCATCGAAAAGTATTTGTTTTGTTCTTATTCATGAATTTCTCCGACAAAATCCACAACTATTTCGTTGTTTTGAATATCGCGTTGAAACAATTGAAGCAATTTGCAGTAAAATTCCTCTTCGAGACAACCTACCAATATGCAACAATTCTGTAAGAGTTTCAAACGAATAGTTTCCCGAAATAATTTTTTATTACTTGTTGTGAAAGGCCATTAACCTATGTGCGTCCCAGTCAAATATCATTTCTCAGTGAGAAGGTAAACAACAACAAATTACTGATACCTAAAAAGCTGATGTTTCTGAACAACTCGTATAATTCTTTCATATGAAAGTAATTTTTCCAAGTCGTCCCCATTTATTGCTAAATTAATCTAAAAAAAGGGTCTTAAGCACAGCTTTCAAGCGATATTGAAGTGTAACTGAAGGCGGAAAAGGTATCCTGGGAAGATTCTGGAAATTTCACATCATAATTTAATACATAAGCAACTAATGACAAATG